TGTCTTGCATCCCAGTCTCCAATACCATGCTGAATGCCAGGCCACTAGAAAGCTAACTTGAGGGTAATTTTGAAACCAGACATTGCTTTCCAGCTTACTGCACAACATCCATGTAGTGCCTCACCTAATTTCTAATGCCTTCAGATGAATGCATTATAAAATTCCAAAGGCTGTAAGTACATACTGCTGCCGGCTGCTCCCTAAACATCTTGAAATTCCACATTTCAACCTGTTACAAAATCCCAAGGGATTCTGCCTCTCCTGTCATTTCTTTTCCTGAATGTTCAGTTTGCTTTCTGTCTATTTGCTATCTGTGTCTTTCTGTGCTTACTCATGCCCTTGCCTGGAACAAACAGCTGTTGCCAGTGTGTGCTTTTCTGCTGGATGGGCTGCTGCTTTACTTGTGTGGCTGCTGCCCTTGGCAGCTGTTAGACGAATTACATCAGCATTTCAGTCAGTGAGGTGAAGAGCTTGAAAGGAGTCACCGGTGCTTTCCCATTTCCCTAGTAAAGAGACCTCCTGGCAGGGAAGGTGGAGTTTTGGCAGTCTTCCCTGACTCCTTCACCTTCTAATCCCTTCTTGAGTAACCCCTCTGTCTCTTCCCTCCATCAGCCATTGAGTGACAGAAAATGAGCCGGTCCTTGCAAACCAGCTGTTCCCTGGAAGCTCTAAGATGGTGTCTTGGACTTGTGAAGCCAGTCACACTGCTGGGAGTTCTGGAGCAGAATTTACACGTCAGATGTGTCAATTCCTAGTTCCAGAGAAGTGTCCTGTGAAATCCAGAAGACATTTGCAGCTTAAAGTTGTATAGAGAGCATGCTAAGACAGAGTCAGACTGGATAAAAGGAAAAGCTTTTTCACCATGAGGACAATCAGGTGGTTGATCAGGTTGCCCAAGGAGGTGGTACAGTTTCCATCCTTGGAGATTTTCAAGTCCAGACTGGATAAAGCCTTGAGTAACTTGGTCTGATCTCATAGCTGAACCTGCTTTGAGCCTGAGATTGGACTAGAGACCTCCTGAGGTCCCTTCTGATCTGAGTTGTCCCATGATGAGCAATACAGCTTCGCTACTTTAGCAATTGTTCAAGTCTGGAATGACCCAGTCATATATAATGGGAATGAAAGTGGTACACTTCTGCAGAGTTTAGTGGAGGAGGACGGACTGTCTTTGCAAGTGCTAAGCCAACCTTTCATAAAGAGTGCTATTTTTGCCATAACTGTATAGGTTATGCTCATTAGTCAACTTGATGGAAGGTATTTTCATAAGGGTTTGAATGAAGACACATCCTCTGCTTTTACACCCACCATCTGTTCAGATTTTGTGTGCAGTTACGTATCTCTGTGGTTTATTCCAGTACATCTTCCATAGCCCCAAATTAAGAGGTGACCCATACAAGTCCATGCCAGGTAAAATTCTGTTTTTAATGTCTGTCCATTAGAAATTAATGGACTGCAAGACTGTGCACCACAAGCCTAGCTCAGGAATACGAAACATCGTGAATCTCATTTTAACACAAATTCAAGAGGGCAAACCCTTATGCCAAACCTAGGTTTGTGTTTGTCTATACAGCCTTCTCTGTCAGAAGAGAGGAGCTCTGCCCAAGGATGATTCAAAGGCTAACTTGGGACTTCTGACCTGCTTTCAGGAGCAACTGTTCTCACTTCAGTAATGATACAGAGAACTGGGAAGGCGAAGTTCCTAATGAATATTAGGAGTTAGAAATTAAGCACCGTAAATTCTCCCTATTGTCTGTTTACTCTGATGATGGTTATGTGGACTGCGAGGTATTATGGACACTGCATTATTAACTAGCCTCATTAGAGAGCAATCGAAATAGCAGTATCTGGTTTTGCAAACAGTTGAGGCAAAAGAGCTTCTGTATTCCACCTTCTCTGTTCCACTTCAGATTTAGGGGAATTGGATGTAATTTTTGCATTGGTCCCACATTTACACGGGCATGATGAAAATGTGAGTTGTCCAATACATTGGTAATCAGTAAAATTTGGGTAGTATGAGAAGTTCTGCGGATAACTGGTTCATATTTCTCACCTCCATATGTTTTGCGAGGCAAAGCCCCATTCTAGAGGGCAGGAACAACCATTTCACCTATTGGGTAATGCTGCTTTTTTTTAAGCTTGCAACTGAAAAAGGAAACAGGGAGCAAGCTGATGTCTGTATACAGGGTCTATCTGAATTGTTTTAATATTATATTTCTAAGGTTGCATTTCTCTTGTCTTT